TGAATAAAATTCTGTGTTCATTATTTGACAAGCAGAAAAATTCAAGCAATCTGATGAAACACAACTTTAGAACTAGTGTTTACAATACAGACTAACAACACCCATCCTAAAACTATATTTTAATACAGAGTTCCTCTGCAAGACTTGAACCAAAGGATGGTGGGTAACTAGTTTGTACTTTAGTGAAGGACGTTTCTGATGAATTTGCTTTTAACCAAACTGCTTATGAACCTGAGGCTTTCAGGGACCCTTGGAGGTCTGCTCTGAGCAGTGTCCTGCTGGTAATTCACTATATACTTTGGATTATCACTTGAGAACTTCTGGGGTTTGAAATGCCTCAAACCATGAAATGATCTTGGTCATTATGCATACACCCAAATGCAAGAGGCCTTGTCTGTGTGCAGGAATCCGGGGTTTTAACCTCTTTCACTTTAACATCTCAAGGTTGTGACATGTCCGTGTGGGACACAGTAGTTTCCGAGGCGTACCTAAAGGCAGCACGATGTTGTCGTAATTGTAGTGAATGATGCAGAGCAGCCCCGTGTCGTGCTCCATACACGTGTAGAGCCAGGCTGAGAAAAGGTGTATCTGTGGGAGACAACAGGAGCAGAATAGGCTGTAATCGGATTGAAATTTGGTTTGTGGGCGAAGATTTTGTGCTCTGTCGCTCCGGGTTGTTTTGACGGGAGGCTCTGGCTGGAGAATATCGGGTGAGTTGAAATCTGATGCTGTGTGGAGAGAGGCTGCTGCTAGCTAGCAAACACTGTGAAGCTGCACACAGTAAACCAGCGTGACCTCCGGTAGGAAAGAGTCAAAATAAAACTGGTGGAAATGCTAAAAGCGCCACAATGTCATACAACCACTGATTACAGTTTAACAGTGATCTCTTCTGACCAAACGGACACCATAATGCAGCCATGTGGGATTAACTTTGACCATTTAGGTTCGTGTGTTGCCGCTCATCTTACATTCAAGATTCAAGATACATGGTCATTGTTAAAAAGCTAATCTTGCTTTTATTTTGAATGCAGTGTCGGTAATGTAGCATGTAGCTTGACTAGCCTGTTAGAAATAGAGCATTCGCCACATTGTTGTTAAAGAAAACAACACAAATCTGTAGTTTATTCAGAACACGTGAAGTGTTTCCGCTGTGGACACTAAACGAGGCCTCAGGTTTGTGTTCCTGACGGTAGACCTGGTTCAGGTACTCAGTCTGGCTCAGGAACTAGCCGTGCGGCGGCATTACTTTGGTCTCGTTGGTTTTGTTCACCATGGCAACTCGGAAGGGCGGCCTTCTTCCGCTTTGGACGTGCCCGCCCGGTCGGCGTGTGCGTGTACATGTAACCGAGCGCTTCAAATGTGCCACGCTTTGTCTGGTGTTCTGAGAAGCACTGGAAACTTTCATCTCATTTGGGTTTTTTGTTTGTTTGTTTGTTTTCTACAATGTTAAATCTGGTTCTGTGAAGTTATTGTTTTGTTTGTTTGTTTGTTTGTTTGTTTGGCTCCCTGTTGGGTGGGAACTACTTAGCGGGGTTATACAGCAAGAAGGGCATGCCTGTGGTTAGCTGCATGTCTTCCTGAACTTTTTGTGTCCTTTCCTCAAGAGTTCCTGTAAAACATGTGAATCCAGATGAGTAGAGAGTCAGACAGGAATCAGGAAAAATCTTTTATTCTAAAGTGCATTTTAAAGTTTCACTTTATTGATTCCTTCTTGGGGAAAACACTTTACAGGCACTTTTAATGAAGCATGATTCAAACTAAAAGTATAAAATAACAAAATACAGAAAAATTGATATTAAAGGTTATGTACATCTTTCACATGTCGAGGCATGGATGATGGACAGAGGTTTCCACTGGGATTAATATAGTCAGTGTAAGTCTACTTGTAAGAGACAAGGTGTTGAATTGGCCTTAAAACGTAATAGAGAGTAACATTATGTGAAGGTCATCCTGCAAAGTCTGACTTATGGCTGCTTGTTGAACTGTGGGTGAAGCAGCCTGTTGCTGGTGACGACAGGATTTTCTTTATATATATGCATTCTAAATTTAACATAATAAACAATTGCTCCACTTGATAACACACTTAAATAACCATAAAGTTTTGGTAAAACTTTACACCTAAAGGTCCACTTATTGAATTTCAGCCACTGAAATTGTATTTCAGTTTATTTTAACTTTTCAGTGTTTCTCACATTTGTAAACGTCGGTGTTGTCGATTTAAGCAACTTTTAAAGAAATAAATCTAAATGTGTCCTAAATTTGAAGTGTTTTTTTTTCCTCTATGACTGTAAACTGACTCTCGTTGGGTTGGAGACAAAACAAGGCTTTTGGGGAAATCATCTCTGGCTTCATAAAACATAGATTTCACCATTTTCTGACATTTTATAGACCAAACAACTAATGAATTAATCAAGAAAATAACCAACAAATTAATTGACAATGAAAATAATAATTAGCTTCAACTCTGCTTTACGTTACGTCTCACATTTGATCATGTTAAACATGATAATATCACATCATATTTGATATTCTCTTTATGTGCATGACTGAGATTATTAACAACAGCGAAGCCAAAGACAAATTTCCCAAAAGACAATATCATGTAATTTAACAATCTCTAACCACTGAAAGGTTTTATTGGACGACTGTTTGTTTCTAATAAGTCATCTTTCTCCAGATACCAGAGCACAATGATGAAGTACATCCTGGTAACCGGAGGAGTCATCTCTGGCATTGGAAAAGGCATCATTGCGAGCAGCGTGGGCACAATCCTCAAGTCATGTGGTCTGCATGTAACTGCCATCAAAATCGACCCTTACATAAACATAGATGCGGGCACCTTTTCACCCTATGAGCACGGTACGTCAGTGGAAATGTTCAGTACAAATAACCACAGTTACATGTTAAGTGTGTGTTCTGACTGTTGCATGTTCGCTGTGTCCAGGCGAGGTGTTTGTGCTTGATGACGGGGGGGAGGTGGACTTGGATCTGGGGAACTATGAGCGCTTCCTGGACATCCGACTGACGAGAGATAACAACCTGACCACTGGCAAAATCTATCAGTCCGTCATCAACAAGGAGAGGAGGGGAGATTATCTGGGCAAGACCGTACAGGGTAAACAAGTCAGATGTCTCTACAAAAGACGGTGTCATGCTCAAGATGAGTAATTAACTGAAGATACTGTTTTGCTTCCCTGTTTTGCAGTGGTGCCCCACATCACAGATGCTATCCAGGAATGGGTTGTGAAACAGGCCAAAGTGCCAGTTGATGACGATGATGTAGAGCCTCAAGTTTGTGTAATAGAGGTAAGCTGAGTGGCTGATAATAGGGCTTAACAAAAAAAAAAACACAGGTCCTGTCTTCTGTTGCTCTAAATCAATTTATAAACTGGAGGACACAGTTCATGTTGATACTGGATATTGATGGCTTGCCCCTCCACTACAGTGACAACGGAGAGGCTGTTTTCATTGCAGGGGTCGACTTCGTAAAGCAGGTTTAACAAACTAAACTCTGACAAAAGCAGTGACAGGAAAGGCAGAGTTTTTAGTTCCAGCTGATCAGTGTTCATTTAATCAGCTCTGAGTAAAATGTAGGCATGATAATGATAGAAGGTCGTTGTCAACACTAAAGTCTCCAACACTAAAGCAGTGACTACTAAAGAGCAAAGCCCCCATTTAAATTCAGTGAACTTGGAAATAGGGCAGGGTGATATAGCCAAAAACATATATAAATGATATAAATGAGAGGATTTGCAATAACAATATAACTGATGAATAACTGATGATATAATTGACACGAGACAAAATACTTCAAAACAACCAAACTTTTATTGGTGCAAATAAAAAAATAACAATTTGGGTTTGGGGGGGGATAGCGGCGAGTATCGGGCAAATATTCGGATCTCTAAATTGCTATCCGGATACCACCACAACGGCCAAATATTCCGATAGTCGGGTCCAGCCCTGCTGTGTTGGTCATGCACTGCATCTGCCCTCCTCCTCAGTCGCTGCCATGCTGCTCGCTCCGTGTGCATTGGACTCAAATTTTATCGTGACATTTAGATTTCTTATCATCCCCGAACATTACGCTCATATTACCGTGCACGGTATGATATGGCCCAGCCCTACTTAGGAATATGAATGTGTCGCAGTGTGGACCTGGGATTTATCTTTTAAAACTAAAACAGGACGGGGAAAGTTGGCAGCATGTCGCGTTAAATGGCATCTTTTATGTCAGTGCTCACAGAGCCTGATGAAGAGAGTCTCGTGAACACAGAAGGCTGATAGCCACCATCATGCTGCCCGTTACCCCTCACTGTGGTTTTAGGCTTTATTGAGCCAGCTAATGCAGGAAAGCCTGGCTGTGTCTAACCTGCTTGGTAGTACGCCCTCGATTTAAGATCACAGCCTAAGTTGTCATGGTTACCAAGAGTTCAAGTGACCGCCCTCTGAAACCAAAAATCTAGAGTTCCCTTATCTCAGGATTACCAAACTCTGAGGTTTTACTAAACCTGCTTTCTGGAGCAGCGCCTGTGGAAACACAACAACACAGCAAGAACTCTGATTTATAAAAAGACATATTTAGGTTATGTTTGCCAATAATCATCGATTTAATGTCGTAGCTGTATACTCTCACAAACCTTACTCTGCTTTCTTTGTTAGTCCTCATTAAAAGCACTTAGTTGAACTGTCAGTTCTGCCTTATTTGCAGTTCAGTGAGCAAAGGACAGGAGTCAGTGGGTTTGCATGCAGTCGACTGATATAAGAGATATCGTGTCCTGTTTGATACTGAATCACAAATGCCTTAGAATGCTTCTTCAATACTTTCTAACTGTATCTAAATTAAATTGAATTGTAAGATTGCTAAAGATGCATACCCCTAAACTGATTCGATTACTGTAGAGTTAGCTTCACTACATGGTGGAGGTTTAGTGTTTTACTGTGCATGATTATTTGCTGTTTAAAGGGCCAACCTGGTCGTCACTGTTTGTGTTTGCAGCTCGGAGGCACCGTTGGAGACATAGAGAGCATGCCGTTCATCGAGGCCTTCAGGCAGTTCCAGTTTAAAGTAAAGAGAGAGAACTTCTGTAACATCCACGTCAGTTTGATACCACAGGTAAGATGGCGACACCTTTACACCTCACTGGTTTTATCCACAGGTACATGTTTAACAGCGTATCATCCGACTGCACCGTCTTCATACTATGGGATGTGCTCATTCAAACAGATGCACTAGAAGATGTAATGAAACAGTAATTGTGGGCTTTTGATGATGTGAATGCACTGACTGAAGCTTAGCATCATACAGTGTGTTTATGTGTGTGTGTTGGTGTTTTCTGTGTTGTCAGCCAAGTGCAACAGGAGAACAAAAGACAAAACCAACACAGAACAGCGTGAGAGAGCTGAGAGGACTGGGTCTGTCTCCTGATCTGGTGAGTCCGTTTCTGTCACACATTAACGTATTTTATGCATCATTTGTGTTCAAATCACTTTTCTGCCAGGGCGGTGTTTTTCTAGTATGGAAGCCCACAGAGTTCAATTCTCAGATCACTCTGATGTCTTTTACTCTTAAATGCATTCTTTGAATCTTCAGCAAGCTGATGCGATCTTACAGCTTGTCAGGTTTATCAGTTTTCTCTCGCTGGTATTCCAACGATTTTTCTTCAGCGTTTTGTGTCAAAATGTCAAAAATGATAAACAGCATTGTTTTTCTATTTGTTTTTATCCTTTAAGTTTGAGATGCTGCATGCAAGTGATAGTGGGTAATGTTTTAGTTAGACCTCATAATGCTGCTGTCATCTTGCTGATACAGCAAAACATACAGACACAATGATTAATAAGCCTGTGCTTATTCGCTTATTGTCATATCTACATGATGGGACAGCACCGGGGTTTGAGGTCTACTGTAGAACTGGTTTTCTTTGATACTGGATGATATTGATGACAAAGATCAACCTGAGTCTGTTGATGGTGAGGAATTAGTTTTCGTGCCACGTAGAAGCAGGCCTGGAGCATAATGACAAAGCAGGTTGAGACAATAAACTCTCTAAATGATCTAACAGTGGAAATGCGTCCAGCTAGTGGTCACTACAGAAGTCAGCTTTCTGGGCTAAATGTCCAACTTGGGAATTCAGAATATCTGAAACATGCATTCCCCTGAAAAACTTCAGCCTCCAGCTGCTTTGGCCACAGCGGGGCAACAGGAAAGGGGTGCCATGGTTTCTAAAAGCTGATGAAGCCTCTAAAAGTCTTTACTTTGTCCTGAATCAGAACTGCTTCAGCTGAATAACGTGCACAAACAGTTCATCCATCCATAGTGAATTGCAAGACTGTGTGCCAACCCACAAATTCAGGAACCACAAACACATGCTAGTGTTGACATTCTGAGAGAAATAAAAGCAATTTGACATTCGTATATATCATACCCTGGCTTCCATAAGTCATATAAAAATAAAACACACACATTTTTAAGGGTTAAAGCAGGTTAACAAGGGGGAGGAAATGTTGTTTAGTCCACTGGAACCTAAATCACAGTGACAGCTTGAGATGAAGAGGTCTGGATGGCACTTTGCATTATTGACATGATGTCTTCACCCTTCAGGAAAAGCAGTTTGCAGTGAACCTGAAAGACATCTGTAGTGAGGAGCATTCTGGTCATTTAGAAGTCTCAGTAAAACCAGATGTTTGGTGAACGTGATGCATTTGTTTGATCCATCACTTGTTCAGTTTTCATAAGTCTACCTGTGTACTGAGAGTTCTGGGAGTTGTGTGAAAACCTCAGAGCCACAGTTTACAGCTGTTAGTGGTTTTCTATATGCAAGCAGCACAAGAGCACTAATACGAGATCTTTCTCTAAAACTGTCAATATGTTTGTATGTATGATTTTGGGGTTAAGAGTGTAAATGGAGAAAAGAGAATTCAGAGTGTCATATAATGCATAGTAGTGTTGGGTTTTTATATCATAGTTACCAGTGATTTCTGATAGATGATGTAACTCCATCTGGCAGTGGATGGTCAGCAGCTGATCTCACAGCACAGCTGCTGTTTATCAGGCAGCCTAGTGGTCATGAAACAGAAGCTGCTTGCTTATACCAACAACACTACTTTAAAGAGACAAAGACTGTGACAGAACGCACAACTGCATCATAGATTTAAGTCAGCAATTACAGGTATTAACTACATAAATCCACACGTGAAGGTCAAGCTTCAGCTGCGAGCCAAGTAGAAAGAAAGAACTGCAGCTGACTGACCAAGTGGACACAGCAGCAGACTTATGAGTGGAGGACCTGTTCAGGTTACATACATGTCAGGATTGTCACGTGGAAAAGTGAACACAAACATATCACTGTAAATCAAGGCGACAGGTTCCAGCACGTCACACTGTATGACACACATATCCACTGGTTTAATGATCAACACATCCCAGTGGTTTTATTTATTGTCTGTTGTTATTGTTTGTTTGTTTGTTTGTTGTTCTGCTGTAATGACCCAGTTTCCCCTGAGAGCTCACGACAGTGTCTCATCTTTGCTGACAGATCATGTGCCGCTGTTCCACTGCTCTGGAGAACTCAGTGAAAGAAAAGATCTCAATGTTCTGCCATGTGGAACCTGAACAAGTAGGTGAAGCACATGAGCTGTGACCAAACCCAGCCTCGGTTTTCTCTGCAGTGCTAAACTCTCCCATCTGTCTGGCTCCAGGTCATCTGCGTGCACGACGTGTCGTCCATCTACAGAGTGCCGTTGCTGCTGGAGGACCAGGGCGTGGTGAGCTACCTGAGCAGGAGGCTTAATATGCCCATAGAGACCAGACCCAGGAAGATGCTGACGAAGTGGAAGGAGATGTCTGACAGGTGAGTCAGCAGCAGCGGTCAAAGACCTAAGTGATGCTGAAAAATGCTCCTCTGTGGGTTGATTGAGCTACTGCACTCCAGAGAAGGTCAGATAGTGAACTAACAGCCATGTTGTCCCACAGGTCAGACAGACTGCTGGAGCACTGCTCTATAGCACTGGTGGGGAAGTACACCAAGTTCTCTGACTCCTATGCTTCTGTTATAAAGGCTCTGGAGCACTCCGCTCTGGCCATCAGCCATAAATTGGAGGTGAAGGTATGTACACAGTGTTTTTCTGATCACATCTGTATGCATGTGTTAATATCAGTCCCCCCCCACAGGGAGGGTCATGCTGAAGTTTAGCTGCTGCATTTCACACTTAGAGGAATGTAAACGATAAATGATGTGGTGAACAGTGTTCCTATCGATCCAGTGATTTGAGCAGCTTTTTTTTTTAGCTTGTATTTGTTGTTAAATATTTATGAAAGAATAATTATTAGCAGCTCCTGTTTGCAGTGTAGCGACTTTTTCTATGATTTTTCAGTGGATTCAGGGTCACTTTATTATAGAATAAATCAGTTCTGGTCCTACTTTCCATTTCTCTTTTTCCAGAAAAAGGTCAGTAATTCTGCACTTATAGACGAAGGATTTGGTGAGAATTGTAAGGTGGTACCAGGTGCTCCGTGTCCACTGATTGAAAAGCAGCGTGACATTTGCCTCTCTATAAATACAGAAGTCAAGGGTTTGGCTGTTTATGCAGCGTAGTAGCATTGGTGCTTCATGGTTGATCGTTGAAAGTTTTCTTGTGAACTAGTGTGAGCTACAGTGAGTGTAAAAGTGCTCTTTATAAAGGAGTTAGACTCTGACTGAGGCCTGCCTGTGCTGCCATCCACTGGTTCCTCAGGCTCTACTCCCACCGCGTACAAATACGTGCTGTGATGTGAACTCCATGCAAGAGCCAGTCATTGTTTCATTACAGACGTTTTTAACAGAGCCAGCTTTAGGACTTGGTCACTGTAGACTTGTCTGCCGCAGGTTGGGAGCATCACTTCTCTATAGAGGGGGAGTTGCATAGCGCTGTTTTCCATCAATACTTCCTTTTAGTTCTTAGTTTAGTTTAGTTGGCATCCAGAATGGCCTGTTTATAGTGTTGTTAAGTGTCTTCTGTGTGACTGTGGACGGGTCAGAGCATCCTGCTCATGACAACCACCTGTCTTACAGAATGTGGACTTAAACTGGACCTGAACTGATTTAAAAATGATCTTGATCCAGGTCCAAGTCTTTCATTTGTAGTTTCATTTCATTATATTCCGTTTAATTTGTGATGGCAGGTCTGTGGTCAAAAGAAGTGTAAACTGCATCGTTTGTGTCCTCTGTTGACTTTGTCATTTTAAAAAGACAGTGATTCGTCCGTAATGCCACGAAATATTCTCATTTTCTGTCCTTCACCTACCTGTGTGTTATTGATAACAGGCAGCTGATTTGCAACTTGATAATATAAATGATGTTCATCGTTCGTCTTTTTCTTTTTCAAAAGCTTCAGTGAAAGTTGAAATTAAATGCTTCATGTACTCATCTGCATTAAAGTGTATTGACTAACCCGTGTCCATTTGTTGTTCCCAGTATATTGACTCAGCGTATTTGGAGCCCTGTACTCTGCAGGAGGAGCCAGTAAAATACCACGAGGCGTGGCAGAAACTCTGCAGCTCTGAGTGAGTGCTCTATGTGATGAGGATGATAAGTGATGCAGCCTGGATGTTCAAAAAGCAGTTTAATCAGCAGGGCATTGTTTCCCTGCTGTCCACAGTGGCATCCTGGTTCCAGGAGGTTTTGGCGTCAGGGGAACTGAAGGAAAGATTCACGCCATCAACTGGGCCAGGAAACAGAAAAAGCCCTTCCTAGGTACAGGATGTCTGTTGGGATCATACATGATCACACTTTGTTAAACAACATCTTCCTTCATGTGTAATGTAAATGAATCGCAGCATTAGTGACACACCTGTTGACACGTTTGTGTTCCTGCAGGTGTGTGTCTTGGAATGCAGCTGGCTGTCTGTGAGTTTGCCAGGAACGTGCTCGGCTGGACAGGTAACATTCATGCTGTAGTGGTTTTTACTTTACATTAAGGAGACCTGCTATTGGCCGGCCTCAGTGTGTCATCATCAACACTGACTGGTGGTTTTCATGTAGATCGACTCCTCTTGCTGAATGTAGTTTTAAAGGAAACCAACAAAACTACTTGTAACACTGTGACGTCTTTAACTGCTGAACCGGCTGCACGTTCCTCATCCATCCATAGAACTTTTGTTTTGGCAGCACCAAACTGTTATAAATAAGCCACAAACTCTTTTCCTGTTTAATACCACCGACTGAATCCCGTATTGACAGTTAGCACATGTGACATATGGCTCAGTTTATGCCAATTCACCCAGATTTCAGTTCAGTTCATGTCATGGTTTTTGTTTTTTGTTTTTTTAAATCATGCAAAAACTTTTACTTAAAACATGGAACCTTCCTAGAGTTTCACAGTTACTCCAAATGTTCTCGTAGTTTTATCGTAGCAACTGGACCTGCTAGAGTTCCTTGAATACATTTCACCTCTCACCCAAGAGGCTTCATCAGTTCTGGGAGTTCCAGATACTGATATCCTGAAGGAGCCATGAACACCTGAGTTTTGGTTTCGATTGGGGGTTTGTTGCTCCTCCCACTCGTTATGTGAGTCGTTAGTGCTTCCCTTGCCACAGTGGGGTTCGTTTGTGACCAGGTGTGAATGTGGTTTCATCTTCCTGGGAGAGATCTTAGGACTGAACTGTAAACAGGTGAGAGATGATGCCTCAGACCTCCACCTCTGCTGAGGGACGGTCTCTCCAGTTTGACATAGATGGCTTCTTTCACCCCTCTCTCAAACCATCTGTCCTCCCTGGCTGAAATCTGTTCATTATTGTCTTCAAAAGACCTTTAATCCAAACACTTTATGAGTTCTGAATTTTTTAAAATAGGCCCTCTGTTATAACTTCAGCTATTCTTAGCATCTTTAAAGCCTCACCAATACTTATTTTTTACAGGATTTGGCTGATTGTTTTTACTGAATGTCCCAGAAACCTTGAGAAAATGTTGGAACTTGTGATCATGTCATCAGTGTAGGACCTAGCAAGGATCTATTTTCAAAGATTCATAAGTACTTGGAGCGGAGCTGTGGGCTTTTGACAGACTCCATGGCTTCTGTAGGTGTTTTTGCATGATTATTTTTTGCAAGAATATCCATGACATGACCTGGAGGCCCGAAGTGATTTGGCATGGAATGACCCATATGTCCAGTGACTGAGGGGAATATTTTCTGAGGAAAAAGCAGCATTTTAATGTTAGAAATATAATGAGCAGAAAGACTGAATGAGTGCAAACAGCAAGTATTTTGTCACCAACACTAGCGACTGTTTCTCACTGCAGTGTGTCACTACGCTGCACAACTGATGAGTGCCACCAAAAACGTGACAAGTGCAACAAAAAATGTCATCGCTTACAATAGAACCTGACATTTGGCAGATCTCAGATCTTCCTCATGACAAAGAATGGGTTATATGTCAAAACATTCATCCTGCACCTTTGTTCCTGTTCATACATTAAACACCCTATGTGTATGGGGAAAAGATAATGCCCATAATGTGTTATTTTGCCTCAAAATGTGTGCTGAAAGATTTTGTTTGCACCTAAATTATGTCCAGTTGCAACTAATTGAAAAAGTTAGGGCACACCTGCAGCACCAGCAGCTAGTAAAGCTGCTAGTAAGGCCAGCGTTAGGACTGAAGCATGTGGAGGTTACAGATGTGCTAAAGCAACAAATGGGATTAACATACAGTACTGGAGGTACATGACACACCATGCATTCAGGAGCCGGGAGAACGAGTACAGTTAATAGGCTGAAGCAGTTAAGTGGAGTTATCTCGGTGAATGTAGGTCTAATATGCATGAGAGACGGTCCAATCAGCTGTTATCTGCCTCCCTGTCAACCCCAGGACTTTACAAACAATGAGCAGATAGACGAGGGGCTAACATCGCATAGAAAGGTGTTCATCAGTTCATATCAAATGCATCCAGTTTATCAGTTTACCTTTACCTGTGTAGGTAGCAGTGGCTAGTGATGAATCAAAGCATCATTAATGGCACATTGTTCTGTTTTATACTTAGATGCCAATTCAACAGAATTCGATCCAGAATCAAAGCATCCTGTGGTAAGTTTTCTAAAACACAAACATAATTGGAGTCCTGCATAAACTGCAAAGTGCATTAGAATAAAATTCTTCTAACTATTGCAGGTGATTGATATGCCAGAACACAACCCGGGACAGATGGGCGGCACCATGAGGCTCGGAAAAAGACGAACCATTTTCAAAACCAGCAACAGTGTCCTCCGTAAGATGAGCTTTAAATTCACTGCAGACCATCTGCTGATGTGTTGTTGCTGTGTTCTTACAGCTGCTCTGTATTCCAGGAAAGCTTTATGGAGATACAGAGTATGTGGATGAAAGGCACAGACATCGCTTTGAGGTTTGTTCACCTCTCAGTTCACCATCATTAAAAAAATAAAAATAAAAAGGAGCAACTGTTAACAAGTGCATTTTTTAACTGTGTTTGTCATTGCACAGGTCAACCCTGACCTGAAGAGTCACTTTGAAGAGAAGGGCTTCCGCTTCGTAGGTGAGGATGTGGAAGGAGAGAGGATGGAGGTCATAGAGCTGGACGGTAAGGAAGACTAACACTGAATATCTTCTCAGGGTTTTTAAATGTTAACAGTTCCTCTTCAAGATTCTGCACTCCTCAGTTCATGGTGTTTCTGTGGAGGTGACCAGCATTGTGTAATTAGGATACAAAATAAAGGAAACTGTTCTGTTAAAGGTACAGAGAAAAAAAAAAAATCTAATCAGAGCACTGATACATTAAGTAAAAATGGTATTGGTAGGATTACAATTTCACAATACATTTTTAGGCTAAAGAAAAAAAGAAATCCTAGGCCAGGGTTGCTGGCTTTGCTGTTCGACTCTCTTCTCATTTCATCTGTCTAAATAAACAATGACAAAACTGCTCCAAAAACAATTTAGAATTGGTGATTGTAAATTGTCCGTAGGTGTGAATGTGAGTGTGCTTGGTTGTCTGTCTCTAAGTGTAGCCCTGTGATAGACTGGTTACCTGTCCAGGTGAACCTGCCTTCACCCTGAGTCAGCTGGGATAGGCTCCGCCCCCCATGACCCTAATGAGGATTAAGTGGTGTGTAGATGATGGATGGATGGAATTAGTAATTGTGTCAGAATACTTTTTAAAAAAATTTTAAATAACCCCTCTACCTATCGGTTTGCGTACAGTTTTCCTGTTATTTCAACAATGTCCATTATGCTTCAGTAAATTAGACGAGACTGCAACTGAAACAAATAATTTTTTAAATCTTGGTTCTTAACATTTTGGCGCTTAGTAAAATTCTTTAATGGATGTCAAAAGTTCTTCTATGCAGGAAAGCCTATACACTTTATACAAAATCTGATGCTTCATTTTCAGATCACCAGTATTTTGTTGGAGTGCAGTACCACCCTGAGTTCACCTCTCGCCCCATCAAGCCATCTCCCCCCTACCTCGGCTTGCTGCTGGCCGCTGCAGGAAAGCTGCAGAGCTACTTACAGAAGGGCTGCCGTCTGTCTCCACGGTAAACAGATTACATGTGTCACCTTACTCGTGCATTCACAGAATGCAGACTAACTGAGGCCTTTTTTCTCTGCCCGATGCAGGGACACGTACAGTGACCGGAGCGGCAGCAGCACCCCAGACTCAGAGATATCAGAACTGAAACTGCCGTCTATCTCCAGTGAATGATGTATGGAACACCTGTTTTAGTGCAAGACATTCTGCAGTAAATGTCTTTTATAGACTCAGTCATTTCTGGATAGAATTGTAAAGTAACCCCCCTCCCCTCCCTTAATGCGGTCTGTCAGGCTCATTGGTGGTGAACTGATGATTCACTCCAACACTGATAAAGCTGCATTTCTCTTCATGCAGCACTGACCTCAGGCAGCCATGGATTAGGGATTGACAGTTTCAGTCCTGGAACAAAGTACTCTGAAAACCTGTTGCCTTTATATGTACTCTGCCTGCACTGAGGTTTAACTGACATGATATGCTGATCGAGTGCCACCGACTTGTCCACCTGTATTGTGGCCTTTTTATTAAATGGGTGCTGTTGTTGACTATCCAGAACTAAAATTACAGCAAACATTGTTTTCACTCGTCGCAATTTCACTGTGACCAGTCAGAAGTTTTATTCAGCATATCTATAGCTTCACTGTGACCAGTCAAAATGACGGTGAAATCTGTATGTTCATTTGGACTCGTCAAAATATCCGTTGCAGATATGTGAGGTGTCATAATGACTGGTCTGAAGTGTTGAGCATGATGCTGCACATGCAAAGCATCTTATTGGATGCTGGTCCAGCAAAGCATTTAAATAGTGTTAGCAGGAGTAATTGCAGCTGCTGTGGTGGATCAGATTGCTAGGAAATAGGAAAACTTGAGAATAACAGTTACATTAGTCAGAGACTTTTGGCCAAAATTTCTTAAAACTGTGGTCTGAGGCTGCTGTGACATGGCAGGAATACAGCTGCCAGATGTGGTGAACTACATGTGAAAGTCTGCTGCAGTATGTCTGGATAGAAAGCCGTCCTAGCAGCTTTGGATGCAACTACAGATTTATCAGTTTGCCTTATCAAGACATCTGCAATTCCATTTTGATTTGTCAGAATTCTAGGTCAGTATTTCTACAATGTCATTTTAACTAATTCAAACTTAATTATAAAATCTGAAATGGACAGTGACAAAAGGAAATGCACCCCTAGTTTATTACTATTGATTCCACATTCAGTTCTTTGTCAGTGATGATAGAAAATAAAAGTGTATTAAGTATAAACAAACTCCCAAAATCAAAGACATAAGCAGAATAGTACAAAAATAATGATGCCCATTAGAATTGCTGATGGACAGTGTGAACATTGTCCATTTATTGCTAAATTACATTTACCCTACATGTCATGGATCTGTACTGATTGTTAAGGTTTAGGTCCAGAGCCATTCACTCCACCAGAACTAGACTATCTGCTCTGTAGTCAATGGGCCACATGAAACTTGCAGCCGTTTTCTGCTCCAGCCAGCTGTTAATGTTTTTATTACCTGGTCTGTCTTATCCACACTGTGCCTTTAATTGGGACAGTGGTACTGGAGGTCAGGTCATTAAGTGTTCATAGCATAATTTGATCTTAATTGTAACACTGAGATGTTTTTCCTTCCACTAAAACTGCAGCATTGCAGTTTGTACAAATTTCTGGTTTCTAAATTGATCAATAATCTTGTCAGCCAAATATACGTGGTGCATTTCTTTCCTGTGCCTGTTGGTACCTTGAGTTGAAAACAGAATTATAAAATCAGATATTAGAAACTGGAATTGGTTAAGATATGTAATAAGAACACACGACTGTTACAACAGTAATGTTAATATCTGAAATGTATTTGACTACAAACCACTGACATACAGAAAGCTGCAGCACATATCTATTCTAGCTGTTAAATATGAATGCAGTTTGCCCTGTGCATCTTATTTTCATATGTCTTGAAATATTTTAAAGGTAATAAAAGAAACTCCAAGAACAGTTAATCAGTCTGTTTTATTAGTCAAATGTGACAGAATCAGCTGAGACATGAAAATTCACCTTTTACAGATCTCATGATTTCACACCCCCCTATAGCTGCCATTACTCCACAGCCATCCATCTACAGTCATCGTTTACAGGCCAGTCAGGGAGGTGCAGTCTTGCCACAGGTCCCTACACAGCTTTCAGTTCTTGGAGATACAGTTTCCCCAAAGTGGCTGGGGACCTGAAATTACAAAAAATAAAAATAAAAGTTAGTCCAGTTCAATAGCATGTGCAGAACACATTTCTTAACACCTGATCTCAGTCCCATATCCGCAAGCTTCATCCAGCAGTCACATTGTGTAAGTGATCATCATGGATCAGTAAGTGCCATCTGTGAGGAGTTTGTTTTGTGTACACATACCTTCAATGACGATCGTGCAAGTGGCCATGTAGTCCAGTGGTGCCAGCCTGAGATCGCCGACAGTTTGAAGCCTGAAAGCAAAAACTGTACATTTACATCTGTAGCACAACATTGCCTTCATCTGCCTCACTAACAGGGCATCTGTAGGACAGTTGAGTGGCTGCTGATGGCAAAAGAGAGCCACAACAGTCAAAGACCACCCTATTTTCTCGCATGCACTTGGAGAACAATGAGCTACAAACAAGCTCAGGTCCTTAGGATAGCACGCATCGTCATTGCAAGAGGCCAAATAACTGAGGAACAAACATTACCTGAACATGAGCGGTCTTCATCCAGTGACTTGGGTTAGCCATGGCTTTCACCTACAAGACACTTTGGTTAGAGTCTTAAAATACATGAACGTCTCAAGATAAATAGAAAACGTGGCTCAGCCAAATAAAGTGTCTCAATCAAGACTAATGTCAGTGAGGGCAAGTGTGTCATCACAGCCGGGGCAGTTTTAATCGACAGCACGGCTCCACTGCTCACCTGCATGTGATGCTCTGACTTCCATGGCATGCGTCTGCACGTTTGACGTTTCCCAAAACCTGCAGGAGGATGAAATAAGGTCAGTAAATACCATGTTTATCACATTTTAATAAGCTTGATGAATCCTGTGATTTTGTCCAAGTGTCCTTCCCCTAAATGTTGCTTGAGCAGTTACTTTTGAACTGAACAGCGACCGTCGGTGAAAGTCTTCATCTTGGCTTCCTGTTGACCGTTCACTGCTACGTGAGAGCATGAACGGCTTCGATAGGAGCCTGGTGGAGATGCAACCGAACGGAGACATAGGACAACCCACCTGTCTGATGTGCAGACGTCCACGGTCATCGAGGGGATGTAAAGCTGCCATTTCCTGTTGGCTCTGTAGAAAACAACGTTTGTTCAGTTAAATCTCCACAAAGCTTCTGAACCAGAAAGGTAAGCATGTTTAAGATACTGAAAATAGGGTGAAGCAGCATGACGTAGAAAACTGACTTGTGTTGAATATAGTAAAGTGGTTGTATTAATAACTTGAGTTACTCCTCTTGTTCAAGACTTTTTTTTAAAAAGCATTTAAAAGCTAATTTAATCAATCTTAAAGAGTTATTTCAAATATTTTATCACGACCAGGGTAAAATACTTATTTATGACTTTGAAGTCAATAGAGAAGTGCTGAAGGTTTTTCTGGAGACATTTCAAAGCCGTTTGTATGGCAATTAAATCAACTAACAACTAAAATGATTTCAATAGGAGACAATAGGACCTTGCTGTAGAAGATAGCGGACACACAAACAGGTCATTAATGGCTCAGGAGCAGCATCAAAGTTTTACACATTCTGGAATACTTCAAAACTTAAAACAGTAAAAAAAGAAAGTCCAGGCTCATTTACGGTGCATATTTTATACCCTACATTGATTGATTTGTCAACAGCAGGAATTCAAAGTGTGTTTTGAAACCGATTAACAATACTCCAAGTCGGAGGAGCTTCGTTTAGTTTTAAAGAACAGGTCATGTCTCCACCAGTCACACCAAAACTCATTTAATGAACTGAATGTTAGTCCTGACTGCACACTGAAGCCATGTTGGGGACGTAGCCACGTGGTTCACAGGCGTTAGCTTTCTAGCCACCATTAAGCTAAGCTAAGCTTAAAGCAACGAGGCCTCAGCCTGCTCCAACTTTACGTGAGTTTTACTTTATAATACGTAGGTTCTGTGTGCAACGCTGCGGCATTTTTTACTAAGCATTACTGCATTAGCAACACTAGCTAACCTTACGTAGCTTACCAAGCCAGCCTATATTAGTTATACTTCTTCCTATTGCCATCTAAATACGGAGTAAACACAAAAGAAAATCGCAAAACGCTAATTACATGTCTATATAATTTTACTAAGACAACGACTCCAGCTGAGGCCTTACCGAGATCCTCTCTCTCACGTCGCCTCTCCTCGTTGAAGACCCGAAAAGAAAGAGGAAAGAAGGAGGAACTGCTGCCATTATATATGAACCCCGCGCGACAGCGGCTCGCTGATTGGCCCACACAAGTCACGTGGGCCGGTTGCATGACGGGATGTGTATTTTTTTCCACCTCTCCTGTTTTGAAAGGTTTCTGTTACTGACGTTAATACATCCCCGAAGAAATTTGTAATTTTTTTACAGACCCACACACATTTTATTCACAGGTGAACACGTTTATATGTTGTTTTAAAAAAAAAATAAAAAAGTAGTATGAGTAGAGTCCGACCATAACTGGACTCTACTTCAGAACCACGGACAGCAACGGACGCTGCCGGTTGTCTGTGGCTGTGAGAAAGCATCACTGCAAGTTGTAGTAACTCCAATAAACTGTTGCGAAATATCGCTTTTGCGCAGTCACTGTGGTATTTCAAGCAAGCAGGAGTTTCTGCCACAAAAGTTAGAGCCACTATTCGGCTAATAAATAAAAAATAATAATAATAATCTAGAGGGGTTTTTTTGTTTGTTTTTTTGCGGCTTACAAATCCACTCAGGCTTTTAACACAACTTGACGGCAGGTTTCTATGAGTGATCCGGGCAGCAGAGCAGGTAAAGCCATCACATGATTGCTGAGGTCGCTGTGCTCCGCGGCTCCGCGCAGCAGAAGGCAGCAGCAGCAGCAGCAGCTCCATGTAAACACGCCGCGCACAGGGCTTTGTTTCACACACACACACACACACACACACACTCCGCTGGTGTCTCCCTCTAGTCATGCCATGGATATTTTGTGGCAATACCAGTTCCGAATCATTCTGCTCGGGGATTCCACCGTGGGCAAGTCGTCGCTTCTGAAGCGCTTCACGGACGGAATCTACAGCGATGTGGCGGATCCGACGGTCGGCGTTGATTTCTATGCCCGCTCCCTTGATATCGAGCCCGGTGTGAAAATCAAGCTCCAGCTCTGGGACACGGCTGGACAGGAACGATTCAGGTACGGAACACTGTGGAGGTGGAATATAGCAGAAAAGAAATGTATCTGGATCGAACAGATAGCGATGATTCCACAGAGATGTGTCGTTGAATAATGGAGAGGCCTTGCTCTGCCCTGTTTAGCTGCTATTTTCAAAACCCTTTCAATTAAACCAGGGCCGTCTTCTGTCTTGTTTGGATGCTAATGAAGTGAGTGTAGACACTGTAGAAAAGGGTCAGGAGGAGATTAGATGATGCTCTGACCTGTATAACAACAGTGCCTATCGAGTTGCATCATTCATTGACGGATGATGGGCAGCCTCCTCATATTTAGGCCCCAGTCTGATTCCCTCAGATACTGACTCCACTGTCTCCAGGGCAACGCAGGGATGACAAGTCTCTATCCAGATCTGTTTATTTATTTTGGCGTTCATTTGTCCTGTTGCTCTTCCTGCTTTTCATGTGTCCCTGCTGTCATGGGTAATTTCCTTTCAAGCATTTCTGTGTCTACAGAGGCAGCTCCACTCTTAGATCTGCTTTCCTTTTTGAAGATGGAGCTTCTGAGGGTATTTTCCTTCAGGCTTCACCACACTTGAGTCTTTCACTTCTGCCTTTACAGGCCTGGCTGTAGGAAGTGCTTATTAGACCAATCAGCTTTTTCTTTTAACCACAGTGTGCACAGACTAGAACCTGTATGTGTGTATTATATGGGATCTCTGTGGCCCCAGATGTTTGAGGGCACCCAGCAGACCCTTTGTTTACTGTCACACTGAATGGAATTTGCTTTGAACTACATAGAAATTTACATAAATAAACAGACTGACAGGATGATAGTCCAGTGTAGTATTAGGAGATGCTCTCTGACCCCATTTACACCTGCTAATAACATGTGACCTGCATCTGATTATCATACCTGGAGAAGGAAAAACACACTTTAATGCAAGGTGCAAGTGCCTGCGGAGCACACTGGGATCACATCAGCTAGATCATATTTAGAGGTGTTCAGACTTGGACTGAGAGCAGATCACAACTAGGTGTACAGATACAGACTGAATGCTAAAACCTGATGTGACAACGGTATCACATACAGAATATGTTCAGTCAAACATGGTCATTCTCGACTCTACTTTTGTCAGTGATGACAGATTTGAATGCAGAAGTATTCAAGTCTTAAGTTTTGACTTGGCAAATGACAGAAAAGGTATTTATTAGGCCAGGACAGACCTATACAGCAATAGACTTTGGACCAGTGTATTGAAAGGACTTTCAATATGCAAAGTGAAAAGTGCCAATTGTTAGCGGAGTAAGGAAGTCCACTATTATTATTATTTTTTACGTAATAGGCCTTGCAGTGTTTATTAGGTGGTGCTATCGTAAAAGAGCGCTCTGACACATGACAATCCTGACCTAGTGTAGCTTTGAATTGACTTGAATTCCTACTGTCACCCAAACAAAGAGCAGGTACTCTTTTATCTTCACTTTATTATGGAGTGGCTGATCAAACTGGTTTGATAGGCAGATTGACTTGAACAGCAGGACCAGCTCTTGTCTGCTTGTATCCAACTCCAATAATTTAACCGTTGCGCTAAAATCTTGATGAGCGCAGCTTTGAAGGGACGAAGTTCAAACACTGTGTCAGTGTCATAGTCATCTTTCATAAAGGTGGAAGGCTTTAACAGACTGTTTATGAGGCCTTGTGACTTAACCGACTTTCTTCGACTGACAACAGCCAGAGTTGTCCTGAGTGAGTGACTTGAGAAATCTTTTGAGAAAACTTAAGACTGGGATTGGGTTTGTGCCAAATGACTTAAGACAGACATTTGACAGGAGTTAGAACTTGACCTGAACCTGTTTCTACTGTCTTGATATTTGACGTAGCACTTGCTTTGGAAGTTTCTTAAATTTGTCTGAACTGATTTAAGACTTGAGCGGAGACTTCGTTTTACATGACTTGATACTTAGTGTGGCCTTATCTTCAATGACTTGTCACTCAACTTCACAACTTTCTTCGACGAGAATTCCTGGTTGGACTGGACTTATCTAGACTGACTTGAGATTTTCCCAAAAGATGTAAACCTATCTCCTGACTTTACATGAAGTGGTTTCAGAGTAACAGAAATCCTGTGCTGGTAGATCACAGTTGTGTCCAAGATGTTATGAAGTGACAAGTCTAGATAGTTTTGCCTAACTGCTAACATGCTGTTAATGTCTTTACTCACCAGGTCTATCACAACATCATATTACCGCAACTCAGTTGGGGGACTGCTAGTCTTTGATCTCACCAACCGCAAGACCTTTGACCATGTGAGAGAATGGCACAAGGAGGTGAGTGAGCACATCCTGCCTCACCACATGGTCTACATCCTCATTGGCCACAAGAGTGACCTCAACAAGGACCGCAAGGTGAGCCGGGATGAGGCAGAGCAGCTTGCTGCCGAGCTGGGCATCCGCTACGTGGAGACATCGGCCAAGTGCAACAGCAACGTGGACCGGGCCTTTGAACTGCTGACCAGAGACATCTACGAGCTGATGAAGATGGGGGAGATCGTCACCCGTGACGGCTGGGACGGCGTGAAGAGCGGCCTCACTGCCAAGGTCCTCTACCCAGCCGAGGATGAAGAGGAACTAGCCGCCGCGTCGGCTGAAAAGGGCTGTCACTGCTGACTGAGAACTCACTGTGTCCAAACACTGTCCTGTCACACCAAGAGCTCACCTCGTCTCACAGCCGTCCATCTAAACCAAGTCACTCAGGCTCAGCACCATGTGATATCATCATGCATCACTTCCTCACCTTGTGCTTCGTGCCCTTTCTTTGTGTGGATTCTTCTGACAACTGGGATTGTTTTCCAACAGGGGGTTTGTGTACATCCCGATGTGTATCTTATAGGCAAGCTGTATCTATAAATCCATGTGGTGTAGCATGACTTGAGCTGATTTGGGCTGTGTTACGTTTAAAAAACACAGAAAAGGGGCTTAAAGTGTAGCCAATATTACTTTTCACAGTACTGAAGCAGTACTGGAACTAATGGACTACTGATCATAAGAAAAACCAGGTGGACTGTTTCTGTGGTCTGGCGTCACCTCCATCTCATACGGCACTATTGTGGGTGTCTGTCCAAATTTGTGCGATGCTTTGCCTGCAATCTTTTGTGACTGTAATATTGTAAATAATAGTGAAATCTATAGAGATGAGAGCTAAAAGGTCACTGAAAGCTATTTAATTAATAGTGTGAACAGACAGTGCACTCTGCATTAAGTGTCACCATATTAAATCAATGTGCTCCTCCTGCTACTGTACGCTGTGTGCGCACTTATGCCAAACTGACTTAAACCTTTAGTCAGTCTGTGAATAGATGAGTCATGTTTTTGTAAAAAAAAAAAAAAAATAGAGATTATTTGTAGTTAAGGTGTATACATAAAGATAGATCACTGTAATTAGGGTAGGCAGTCCCATTTAGGTATTAGCAGAATAGCATCAACAGCAGCAAGAAGTGTGTCAGGTGGTTCACCTCTCCATCATCACACCTTTGATACTGACAGAAAACTGAGCCTGAGTTTCGCCCGTGGCTGTTAGAGCTTCAACAAACATCTGTTTATTATGTTTAAAGCTACGTTCTCATAAATGAAATCACATACGGGTTTGACTTGGTGATGAATACCTTCTCAATAAGTCCAAGAGTATAGATGGATGTTTTACTTACATTATGATGTGGTCTAGAGCTACGGAAGATTAGGAATTTGGGTTTAAGTCTAGAAAAAGTCTGTATTTGTCATACCTGAGGATTCCACACTGATGTGGTATCATACACTACAAAAGCTAATTACTTGAAGATGGTTATAACAGGCCTCTATACTGACTGAAGTTCAGTTCATGTGGAGGATAAGCAGTTAGACCAAGAGACTGGGGTTTGCCCTGTTCATGCACATTTCCTGTCACATATTTTTGTCCCATACAATAAATGCTGACTAAATTCTTAGCCGTAAAAGTACAATGAAAAAGTTTTTGAAAAAATAGGTTTCATAATTTTCTTCCCTGAGACTTCGATGAGGACATTGTTACCTCTCATCTAAGTAGGGAGCTGGAGCCTGGATGTAGTTAGTGAAGCATGAAGACAGAAGGCAGGGGTCAGCAGCCCTCCTGCCTCTCACTGTACTTCACAAATACCCCTAACAGGCAAGTCAAGAATCAATTACGTGTTTAATCAAACTAATAATGTCTAAAGTCTGCCTGTAAAGACACTAAAACCTGTGATCATCAAGTTTGTCTTCATTTTGAGCTAGCTGCCTGTAAGAACTTGGGTAGAAATAAAACAAAGACAATACGATGTGTCACGTAGTGTTTTTAGGTGGATTCTTTGACTTTGTAAAGAGCCAGGCTAACTGTTACCCTCTGCTTCCAGTATTCATGATAATCTAAGTTAGCCAACCTCAAGTTCCAGACATGGCACTTGGATCCATGGGCTTGGCTAATAATTGTTTTTGTCAGAATTTTTACCTTTTTATTTAAAGGTTTCGAGGAAATGTGACGGAGGTTATTGCCTGTATGAATCCAAACTAGTATCCAGCCAAATCTCAAGTACAGCTACATTTTCAGTTGCTGACATTCTTTGTTCGCTGTCTGATGTGAACATAGCATTCAAGTGACTTTAGTTCCTACATGGGTACGAGTATTTTGGATTTAATTGACTCAAGAAGCTTTGAATACCAACTGTTAGAGAACCCAAGTTGTCAGCTTGCGGTTGTGAGCTTCCTTTATAATAAATGCACATCTACACATGATTTCCAAACATGGCAGGGTAACTACTTTTAACAGAGGATCGTGAATTCTGTAAATTCTCCAACGGAGCCAAACAATCTGCTGTTTACATACCAGGAGTTTACAATAGAGTAGAACACACTTGTCCGGTAACTCACCTTTCCACCTACCACTCATTTCACCAGCATTTCACAAGAAAACCTCTAAACACATTTTAAACATCAAGAGATTATGCATTTTGCAGTTTTTGTTTCATTCATTCATGTGACCAGCTTGGCTTTTTTTTTCTGTTTTATGGGTTATCCAGTTAATATACTGCACATATGTGGTGGCAGCTTAGTGATTGGTAAGGAATGCATCTTTATACATTTGCACCATCCCTTTACCTTTTCTGTTCTGCACAAATTGGACTCTTCCTGGTGAACCACCACCGACTACACACAGTTTAAATACAGTATATTATAGATGCTTATGTTTTCGGTTTGTCTGACAATCAGATCTCAGTGTTTCATGTTGTCAGTACAGGTGAGCATCTAATCATGGAGGTGCTACGTCTTCAAATCATACTAAATGTCCCTTGAAAATACCATCTGACAACCAGTCTGATGATCTGTACAACTACCTTTCTTACTTTTGCCTCTCATCTAAACAGGGTCAGATTGTATGATATTGTTTGCTAGTATGGTGCTGTTGACAAACTGTTCTCCGGTCAGCATGGCTCCCATTCCTGAGCACTGCATTTGAAAACGACAGGTTTACTGAGTTGAAAGGACAATAGTGGAAAGACAAGCAGAAGTATCATCTTGAAAGACGGATTTTATAGGAACAATAGAAGCTTTATAGACGCTGCTGTATCCACTAATGAGAAATACAAGAAAATCTAAGACAAAAACATTTTCAACTGCATTTGTAATCTCACAGGTTGTGCCAATATACTAACAGTGGCTCTCCTGAGTAATGATTATAATAGTGACTGTAATCAACTTTCCGTCCAAATCTAGCCTCTCTCTTAGTGTATTCTTCAAAGAGATGCTCCACATTTGTGGCATTACGCTTGTTTGCTTTCTTTTCTAGTTTGAAATGAAAAGATTGATACCACTCTTGTATGTTATGTACAGAACTGGAGGATGGGGATGTTGTAACATCATTTGAACTATTTCTTGGTGAACAACAGCTGGGTTTCTCCCTATTAAAGTTTTTCATGTTTTAGTTTTGAGCTGGTTCAACAATTAAGGTGCACAAAGTGACGAGTGGACATTGAATAGATGTTGGTGTTTAGCTCTGTACTTAACACACAAACATGACACTGATGTCAATCATCTCACTTTCATAAAGAAAGCAAATAAGCACATTTTAAAAAATAAAGAAGTAAGTCATATTGTTAATGATGTGTTATGTCATCCAGTGGACTGATCAACCAGGACGGTACTTGGCACACAACAGTACCGCCTCGAACCTCCACAGTCACTTTTCACAGCATTATTGAATAAATGTTATTTATTTTATATATTATGTATAAAGGATTTGACTATTATTTGATGTGATTTTACTGATTGGTAAAAAATAAAATGAGTAGATGTCCAATGATTGAAGTTTGATCTGGCTGGTTGATTTTTTTAAAGGGTTTGGCGCCCTCTGCTGACCGATGGAAGAAGGGTTATCATGACCTAGATTGGTAATTTTGATTTATTAGTGGCGATCAGAGCAAAGAATTGGGAAAGGCTGGTGTATTAAAAAGACCAAAGCAAGCATTTGTCGTCGTTACATTGAGTGTGACCTGTATGAAATCACGCCTCAACAGAAACCAGAAAAGATCTTTGTTGTGATATTTTAATGTATTCCACGATGTCTGTATAAACCAGTCGGTACCACTGAACACACTGAGTTCTTGTTTATGGTATTATTGGGAATTGGGGCATAAAGCAGCTCAAAAATTAATTTGTATTCACAACCAAACACGCAGGTTTTCACTGAAAAGATGTTTAAATATGACAAGAAACATCAACCCATGGGGCGACTGTCTCCCGTTTGTTCCAGAGGAGTCTCATGTTCCCCACGGTACCTGAACGCAGCACTCCATGATGGTGGTCACAGCAGCCAATGACATCCAACAACATCACGTTGCCCGCCCGTTTTTACCCATCATGCTCTTCGCCGGTCAAATCTGCACAATCACACACGGCACAACTTAGACAGCGACTGAATAATTCCTGTATAGTTGGTGATAACTTATATTTTAATGTATTATCATATAATGTATAATAAAACTCTACTCTGTCAGGATGATTAGACATCAGACGACCTCTGAGTGAGAATCATGTCACCGCTGTTCATACGATGAGAAGTTCAGGGACTCTGGTTAAAAAGGGCTTCTGCTGTGTTTGGCACAGGAGGGGTGGGGATTTCCACTCCTTTTGCGGAATCGCCATCAAGAGATTTCGGAAGCATAATTTTTAAAATAGGGGCAGCTGGTGATCGCTGGTCCTGGCGCCCCGTCACATAATGTGGAATATTAAAAAACTCAGAAGTATGTCAGAGCATCAGGATGTCACAGTGGTGTTGTGTTCTAATGCTGGCTGGCTTTCACTAGTTATTGGTTCGTTATCGGGTTGATCTACACTGATGTCGTGTTGATTGTTTTCATAACTCGACTAGATTGAAGTCACAGAGATGAAATGATGAAATCACATCAGTCAGCTGGAGAGCAGGAGGACTGGATGCGGAGCTTCTGGCTGCTCACAAGTCGCTGCTTCAGGGCTTTTTGTTTTGTTTTTTTTTCCATCAGTGCACCTAAACCACAGAACGAGCTGAAGACTGAAGGCTCACAGTTACTGACTGATCACCTTGTGTAGACTTGCTCACATGTTTTATAAAAGTTTATCTATCTAGTATTGGTACATGTGTGTTTATTCTTACTGACACACTGAGTTTTATATTTTAACTTGATGCTGTCTTTGTGTAGCCTTACATCCTGGCTTCCTGGTATCATGGTGCCTTCTGAGCATTCTGGATTTACTGTTTTGCACTTTGTAAACCATTGTTCCTAAAAGTTCTACATAAAAAAGGTTATTATTAGAAAATGAACGACCGGGTTAGAAAGTTATTCAAACCACGGAGTTTTATCTGCTGCTTGCTCTGAACCACTACAGCTGCCAGACTGTCAAAGAGTTAAACATGAAGGTTATTTGGCTCGAAGCTTAAAATGCTCGAACTGATAATCAATAATACATCCTTCCCTTGGTCTCATGTTGGACGCTTCTTCTGTGTGACTATAGTTGGACCTCTTTTGAAGGTTAGTCCCATTGTGAGGGGAGCTCTCTGAGGCGCTAACAGACTGTTTTTTGGCGTTCAGACTGCTTTTATTCAAATATTGTGATGTTACGAGATGAAACAAGTTGTGATAGGAGCAGAGCACAGGGTCAATGGGACTCGATCAATAACTACATTAAGTACATATCAAAGGATCGGTTCACTCGCAATACCTTCCGCCATCATGTACGATTATCTAATGAAGATGTTTTTGTGATTTAAGTGAGTTTAATTTAAGATTTGACGAGCGCGTGAGCACGGAGCGAGCGCTGTTCAGCAGGAAGTCAAGCTACATCTGCGAAATGCGCATGCGCCCCAGCTCTCCACAATCTAGGGATGCGTTTGTCTTCATAAAACGGTAAGGACAGGCTATTTTATTTACTGTGTGGTTTGAAATATACATGACTAAAAAATACCAGCTGCTCTTACGACACAGACAGCAGCTGTAGCCGGGGCTTTGGGGCAGAGAGCGGAGGGGTTCAGCCAGCCAGGCTCGCACAGAATGGAGGGGTAACGCCGTCGCCGTGCCGTTGTTTGCTGTACGTGCCGCCGCACAGGGAGACGTCATTTTGAGGGGGAGCGGAGAGTTAAAATGCAGAGTTACGAAGGGACGTACGGTTCATAGACAAGCGGCACGTAGCCGCCACACTGTAAATGCAAAGCTTTACCAGCCTCGGACTGTATAGTTCTCAATATTGTCCAGATTCCCACACATGAAGTTACGCCCTTGCGTTAGCTGTAATGGCTACCGTCGAGCCGAGGAGCTATGAGGATGTGAGCAGAGAAAAGCGGTCAGCTGCCCGCTGCAGGAGCGATAACCGGCCAACGGCAGGAGTACCAGGCTGGTATCTGCAACGGAACCGGAGCTTTCAGCGGTACTTTAACTGCAGTTTAACCGCGAATGACCAGCTAAGCCCGCGTTGGTTACTGTCCCCTAAAACATGCAGTTCTGCTGTTTGTGTTCCCCGGTACCAGAGGAAAGCCCGAACCAGCGCTGCAGGTCCTCCAGAACCTGACAGTTTAAAAAGTTGATTAATGCTCGTCATGCAGAACTACCGACCGGCCTCAAAAGTTGCTGCTGATTGCAACAATAGTTGACAGACTGGTTGCCAAGCAATTAAAAACAACAACAACAGTTAGAAATAATTCCACGTTTGACAAATTGTAGTCTGGGTTTTAAAAAAACAAACGCACTGTTAAGGGTTACAGCCTCTGGTAGTCTCACAGTTCTCATTCTACCGGACCTGAGAGCGGCAACAGCAGAACATAAAACACACCTAAAGGCTCCAGAACTGGGTCAGCACATGTGGAACTGCTTTTCATTGGTTTTCATCATACTTAACAGTAGACAGTCCATAGTGAGGATTAAGCGGTGTGTAGATAATGGATGGATGGACAGTTTTTGTTTTTGTTTTTGTTTTTTTAATTTTCATCTGCCCTCATGTCCTGTGGGGTCCCTCAGGGCTCAGTCCTTGGATTCATTTTATTCAGTCTCTATCTGTTGCCCCTTATCCTTATGATTTGCACCTTCACCCCGTCTCCTACCACTGCTATGCTGATGACTGCCAGTTAAACATATCTTTACCCCAGACAATCAGGACAGTCTACTCGCTTTGCAATACTGCCTCACGGAATGAATTGCAGTTAACTTCCTTCAACTAAACACAGATGAAACTGAAATTTTTAACTACTGGTCCCAACCACATTTCCCTCAACATCACCCCCCACCTCTGACCACTTTCAACCAACACAGCCCATGCAGTGAGAAACTTGCCTTCGATCACAATCTGAACTTCAACCACCACATCAGGACTCTGGTCCAATCATGCCATACACACCTTAGAAGGATAGCAAAGATTAAACCAGTTCTGTCTAGAAACATAACTGAGCAGCTCATACAGACCCTTATTTTCTTCTGAACATTTGTCGGCCGTTGTGGGCTTATAATAAATATTTCCCCCATGTGCAGGTCACCAACCATATGAATCTGGTTACCACTGCATGCATTTATTCACAGGCATGAACACATTTTGCACCAGTCAAACCATTTTAAATTATATGTGTTTGGTTTAAATTGTTTAAATGTAATTTAAATTAATACTGCATTCATGTTGCTCAAATGGTCATTATTATTTTATGTATTTTAATAATTAGAAATGCTGCAGTTTTCTGCTGGCAAGAGAGTATCAGCATTAAAATTAAAAATGGTAAATTGATTTTGGTTAATGGCTTTGTCCATCACAGGTTGTGTGAAATGTATGTAAATAACATCTATAAAAATTGTATATAACAGAAGTGAGAACAACTGTGCAGTCTCACTTGTATGTCAGATTATTTGCATTCTATCTCAGTTGAATCGTGTGTTTTGTTTTTTGAACAGTCAAAAACAATTCAGAAGACTTTAGAATAAATGATTTGAATCCTATTACTGAAAGACTTATTGGTTTTGTTGAATTTGGTTCCTAGTGGGGGCTGCAGGTGGCTCAGTGGTTAGCACCGTCCCCTCTCAGTTAGAAGATCCCTGGTTCACGTCCTGGTTAGGATGCACAGGATCTTTCTACGTGTTCTCCCCGTGCAGCGTGGGTTCTCTCCGGGTTCTCCAGCTTCCTCCCACAGTCCAGAAACATGCTGAGGTTAATTGGTGATTGTAAATTGTCCGTAGGTGTGAATGTGAGTGTGCTTGGTTGTCTGTCTCTAAGTGTAGCCCTGTGATAGACTGGTTACCTGTCCAGGTGAACCTGCCTTCACCCTGAGTCAGCTGGGATAGACTCCGCCCCCCATGACCCTAGTGAGGATTAAGCGGTGTGTAGATAATGGATGGATGGTTCCTAATGTGTGGCCTGTATTTTACAGAAAGTAAATCTACTATTCGTTTATAATTTTACACCAGAGCAAACACTCTACTCGTCAACTTAACTCTAATTTAATTACTGTAAGGTGATACAATTTGAAAAAGTCACCATTGAAGTGATATTGCACAGTGGTGTACTCACTTCTGTTCTGCTCTGTATATAAATTTGAATTTCTGCATCTCGATGCCACAACACAATAACGTGAAAAATATATGAGATTCATAGTCATGTGTTTATTAATTTTTAAAATGTATTTTCAGATGAACAAACTGGATCACTGTTGCATGAAAGCAGCCCCCCCCCTCTAGTCTACTCTCATGAGCATGATGTCAGCCACCGATGAGGTAACGGTGTCCATGGGGGAGGTGGTGATGATGAAGACTGACGGTGAAGTTGGCAACGAGGACCCTAACAAGACTCAGGTCATCCTCCAACTCCAGCCAATCACCACTGGGTAAGTGCTGAAGCCAGGATGCAGACAGAAACTACCACACAATACATAACTACACAGATGACAGATGATGAGCCATTATGAATACTTTGTAATACCAAGAACCTATTAAAACATCCAACTGTTTTCCTTTCAGAGATGAATCTGCTGAAACAGATGCAGCTGTCATGGCTGTTGAAGCTCATCCAGGTAAGAAGCTGTCAGAATAATGTTTGGACAACTTGGAAGATGAAGCAATGTATGTGTTTTGCAAATGACATCACAAAAAGCATGTTGGTAAAGACAGAAATGCATTTTTCCATTTCTGTAGAGCAATGTGAGGGTGACGACGTGGAGATAGGCTGTCCCATAACATGCGGCGACAGTAAAGCTGTGTTGCTCGTGAAGAAGTTTGTGTGCCCGGGAATCAATGTAAAATGTGTGAAGGTTGGTATTCATCGTGTGTTTTTTATTGAAGTGCCCTTGGATGCAAAATAGTAAATGCATTTACACATGACCATACGTAGCTACAAGACAAACAGGCCATTTAGTAGTCAGTCATTGAGCAGGAAATAAAGAAGTACTGCTGCCATGTGTGCCAGTGTACCTGCACTGAGCCTCCCATTTATTCTCCTCCCTGTGAACTTCAAATAACTTAAACGCTGATTACGGCTCTAGGTTGGCATGTGCTTACAACAGCTCACTGAGTTGAATCTGTCACGACCAGTTAAATAAGATAAATCCTCTCATTCATGCTTTTGTAACAGATTCTCTTGCAGTTTTTTTAAACATATTGTTATGAATGAGCTGAATTAAACAGGTGCTTCCTATCATCTATCATGACTGGTCTAGTCGGGCCTGTAATGAGCAGCTAAGTACAACAAATGCTCTGAAGCAAATGAAATATTTTGAGAGCACCAAAGTAATCCGAAACAGTGATATAAAATAATAACTCAGAACAAAATGAGCATTACAGGAAAGTACTGAGCAATTAGGCAGTAGACAAAAGTATGACAGAATGAAACAGGTTTTTGCTATAAATGCAAGTCCTTCTTCTTTTTGTAAGTAGTAAGCTGTCCTACATTTATACAGTCCCTGGTAATCTAACTCATAATCAGGATTTGGATTTTAAACCTGCCAAAATTACAGAATATGATTTGTAGGGACAAACTGAAACAGAAAGCATAGAAACGCTAATAAACAGACATTAATTTATTTAGAATGTTTTTTTTTTGTTTGTTTGTTTTTAAATAGCATTTTAGACCTTGTAGCTATTAGTAGTTATACAAGGTGTGTCAGAAAAGTTTCAGAAGAGTAATATTTTAAATCCAGGAAAGCAACTCCGTCTTAGTTCAAGGGGAAAATGTTATATAACAAGTGTAATATACACTAAATTACATAAAATGACAAAGAAAATTATTTCTGTATTGCTGTTTGGCAGTTTCATACATCTACCAACACTTTTTTTATATTAAAGGCCAACATCAGAAGAAAGGTGATGCTGTGATGATGATGCAATACAGGTGTTTTATCATTATCTTGCACTAACTAGTCCTCTCTTGACTAGTATGAAGACCAGCTGATCAGTCCCAAGCAGTTTGTGCACATATCTGGAAAAGCCACTCTGAAAGACTGGAAGAGAGCCATCAGGATGGGGGGAGTCATGCTAAGGTGAGGGG